CCTTTATTTTTTGGTGCAATATTTCCTGAAGCTTGCTATGGGCTGCTGTCAGTCATCATGACCATCTGAATTAACTGAACCAACTACTGACATTGACAGTGGCTATGGAAATTATTATACTCTATCATTCTCAGACCAAATGTCCCAAGAGAATAAACTATGTCTCAAGTCCGTTCAATCTCTTTCAGAAAAAATGCATGGAGTGTAAAATTTAGATACCTGCATATATTAACTATTGCAGTTGCTCTTTCAGATGTGCTACGAATCATTTTCTTAATATCTCTTTACTTAGAAAATAAACAACTGCCAAATGTGGGTACTTATATTCCTGTTTATAGTGAGGAAATGCCCTAACTTAGAAGCTAAGATTTAGAGTAAAAAATCCTGGCTCTTCCATATACTAGCTAAATAATCTGAGTCTATTTAATCACTCTTTCTGAACATCAGCTTTTGTATTTACACCTGTCCTACCTATTGACTAGAACAGTTGGGGGTGGGGGGGAAGAATCAAATGTGCTAATTAATGCCTTCTGATAAATATATTTTTATTAAAAAAAATATATATATATTATTGATTTTTCACAGAGAGGAAGGGAGAGGGATAGAGAGTTGGAAACATCCATGAGAGAGAAACATCGATCAGCTGCCTCCTGCACACCCCACACTGGGGATGTGCCCGCAACCAAGGCACATGCCCTTGACCGGAATCGAACCTGGGACCCTTCAGTCCGCAGGCTGACGCTCTATCCACTGAGCCAAACCGGTCAGGACCAAATATATTTTTTAAATGTCAAAAACTAGAAATAATTTTTGGAACATATATATGGCATGTCCTTCTCTCAATCAGCTGAGTTATTTTTAATGACTATTAGTAATTCATATAGATGTTAACTCACTTTCAGACTTAACCCATTCATATTACATCATTTTCTCATCTATGTTTTCACTCTAAATGACATAGATGATTTGGGAATTCTTCACAACAATTGCTTTATATCAAGCATATAATTGACAATTACTGCTCTAGTTTAAAAAATAGCTAATAGATTTTTAAGGATTTTTAACTTGTCTTGAAGGAGCAAAAGAGTAACTGAATAAGTCACATTTTTATTCAATCTTGATTCAATTTTTTATTCTTTCAGAAAATCGAGAATTTTAAGAATTGGCATTACTTGATTTAAATTTTTTATATCCTATATAACAGGGATAAAGAAATACATTAAATAAACTAAAGCTTATCAAGGTTTAGAGAGGAGAGAAGTGAACACATAGTAAATTTTTTTTATATATAGATTTTATTGATTTTTTACAGAGAGGAAGGGAGAGGGATAGAGAGTTAGAAACATTGATGAGAGAGAAACATCAATCATCTGCCTCCTGCACACCCCCTACTGGGGATGTGCCCACAACCAAGGTACATGTCCTTGACCGGAATCGAACCCGAGACCCTTGAGTCCGCAGGCTGATGCTCTATCCACTGAGCCAAACCAGTTAGGGCGGAAAATGTTTTTTACAAATATAATTTGGCCCTGGCTGGTGTGGATCAGTTGGTTGGGCATTATGCCATGCACCAAAAGGTTGTCAGTTCGATTCCCAGTCAAGGCACATGCCTGGGCTGCAGACTTGATCCCCAATTGGGGGAGCATGCAAGAGGCAGCCTTTCGATGTTTTGCTCTCACACTGATGTTTCTCTCTCTCTCTCTCCCTTCTGCTCTCTCTAAATATCAATAAAAATATTTTTAAAAATTTGTTATGATTATAAAAGTAACATATACTCAATTCACAAGATTTGACAGATGCAGAAAAAAACCTGAAGAAAATAGACTCACTCATAATCAATCCTTCTACATCTCTACCTCCAGAAAAATCACTATTAACATTTAAGCCCATAGAAATTGTCATTATACTGGGTCTTATCTCAGGCCATGACACCACTTACCCAATCCTACATGAAATAATTTGTAAGAATTCTAACTACCGAAACTTAAAATGTACTTACTTCTACAACACATTCATAAACTGTGTCATCCAACAAAGAAACCTTGCAATGCATGTTTCTGTGTCTTCTGATTGATTTCTGGGAAGCTTTTAATTCTCTTTCTGCTTTTGATTCAGGGCTTTCTTCTTTCACTTCTGTTTTAGAGCACTCTTCAACTCCTCCTCCTTCCTTAGTTTCAAAATCTGGATCTTCTGTGCGTTCTTCCTGAGCAGGCTACATATGGATGACATCACCAAGTCAATAATAAAGACATTTAACAAAACATGCTGTATATACTTCTACCTATAATAATGCTACCACTAACAGTACTAACTAAAGAAGAAAAACGGTTGAAACAAATGTAAGTGATGCTAATATTAAATAATTATTTTTCTATAAAAGATATTACGATCTCCCAAAAGAACTACAGACTCTCCTATTCTTAAAACTACATAACAGAAGGTAGAATCCCATTTTTCAAATCAATAAACGAAGGTTTCAGGTAAATTAGAGGACACCATTCTGTTGCTTTCAGCATTATATATTCTTCCTGATTATGCCATTATATAATTTTAAAACCTATCAAAATTTTAACATCTTCTGTGCCATGCTCCTCAATTTTAACAAGGTAGCCTAATGAATTGCAAAATGAGATGTGATTTGTCATGTATTCAAAATTTTATGAATGGCTAAGAGGGGTTCTTGGGACCAATTTTAGAGCACAAAGCAACATATATAGTAGGCTAACTGTAACTACCAATTAACTGATACCAGGTATCAATCATGATAAATACAAAGAAGGTTTAAAGAAGCAAGAGACAGAGAGAAATCAAGAAGGCAGCATAGGTAAACACCGGAAAATTGCTGCCTCCCACAACAAATTCAAAAATACAACTAAAAGACAAAATGGACATCATCCAGAACCACAGGAAGGCTGGCTGAGTGGAAGTTCTACAACTGGAAGGAAAGAGAAAAGCACACTGAGGCTCAGAGGAGATGCGGAAGTGCAGAGGTATGGAGGCACACACGCGGCAAGGGCTGGCAAGTGTGGACGCGGCTGTCTTTTTGAATCGGGAGGGAGTTGCAGGCCCCCGACTGCTCTGAACTCCAGTTCCGAGTGAGTCTCTGGGGACCCAGACTAATACAGGGAGAAACTAGACTGTCTGGCAGCGAACAGAACTCGGAACTAGAGGGCAGCTTTCTCTCAGGAAGTGCAGGTATGGAGGCACACACGCGGCAAGGGCTGGCAAGTGTGGACGCGGCTGTCTTTTTGAATCGGGAGGGAGTTGCAGGCCCCCGACTGCTCTGAACTCCAGTTCCGAGTGAGTCTCTGGGGACCCAGACTAAAATACAGAGAAACTGGACTGTCTGGCATCGGGCGGAACTCGAGGATGGCTTTCTCAGAGGTGCTTGCAGCAATTACCTCGGGACACTAAGACCCGGGGCCTCTTAGGGCAGGGCTGAGGATCAGCCATAGATGTTTGTTCAAC